TTTTTTCGAAAATATTCATTATTCGCCGAAACTTTTGTTACTCTTAGATCATGCGTGAATAATGATGTGATTCGGCTCATGAAAATGTTTGCTGTGTGCAACAATCAGAAAGTTTTTTAGCACTAGCGATTGCGGCTGCACTCAATACAGGTGCTCGAATAAGCATAAGTACGCCTTTATATGGGCTTCAATTTTTTCCTTTAAGAATGATGCGAAGCAAATAATCGTTCATGAAAAATGGCATTATTTTCGCCAAAAAAAATGTGCTATCTGAATTGTTTAGTGCATTGTTTACGTTCCACATTTTATTTATGATTTCGTTCGGCGTAATCATCTGTCTTATGACGACGAATCACACTATCTGACTATCGGTGCACTTTGAAGGTTCACCACGTTCACAAGCATTTTATTTTCGTTTCCACTCGAGAGGGAGCGAAATCGATTCATTGCTCTTCACAACAATCCTGTGAGTGATATTTTCTGATGAGAACGGTGCGAATAAACAACAAAATTTACGAGCTCCAACGACCCAAGCAAGCATCTCTCAGCTGATCGACACATGCCAGCCTGTTGTGGTTCAATGAAAACTCATAAATCTTCTACAAGTAATTTTTTCTCACTCGTCTGCCCTGACGTAAGAAAAATTGGCAAAGAAAGTTCAATTTCAATGCCAATCATTCGTCTTCGTTAGACGTTTTTCATGCAGTAAATGTAGTTTTTTCATGAATAACAGATTTGCTTGTGTTCACTGTAAAGAACATTTCGACGGATACGAAACTGAGTGAGCTAATCACGTGATCATTTGAAACGACGGCATACTGCGTGTAAATTCACGATCAGTTTGAGTGATAGTTCATTATAGAATCGGATTGACAAATCCAAATCTTTCNAGCAAATCATATGATACGTTGAAGGTGTTAACTTATTTCCGACAGAAAGCCGAATGGGCCATTTCTTTTCGCTATTTATTTGCATTTCGTTGTTGATATTGCCGGTGGTCCTTTATGTGCTATAATAGTCCCACTGCATCGAATACGGAATGCGAGGGCACACACACTTTTATGCGAATGATAGAACAATTGCGCTTATCAGTTAGAGATGTTGCTTGTCAATTTACCTTACTGATAATACTTCATCATGATCGTTGCAAAAGTACATCCGAACAACATACGTCGACGTTTCATCATTCAACTTGCAGTATTGTGTATTGACATTCTTTCGTGGGACGATAGCGATGATGCTGCGGGCAGTAAAGATCCATCCGAATATTCCGAGAATTTGAATTCAGTCCGATTGATCGTTGAGATGAAACTTCGTCCACAATTGTCCTTGCTTGTGCCACCGACCTAAGTTCATTTCCTTCGTTTTTGCAAGCACCAAAGTTGCTCAGCTGTTCAGTTTTTTTCCTGTTCAATTGTTTTTGTGTAAAAATGGTGTAGCAAACATCTTGCAACGGAACAATTACTTGATTTTTCCAATTCACATTGAGTCGGTCGATGTCAAATCCAATTGAATCAGACGTTATCAGTCTGATATTCTTATTGTATTATTGATTCCGTCCATCTCCAGTTATTGACTGAAACAAACGGCTCAGGCAAGGGTACTTCGAACAGTAACACATTGTCCCAGTTTCTAAATTGGTTTGATTCGATTAATATTGCTTTGAGGCTGAATGTTGCATTGGAGTAATTTTGTAGTTGAGATCAGGTTTTGTATTCATCGTCAGCTGTCCTCTGTTTGAAGTGTTTTTGTTTCTTAAAAAATTTACGGAAATGTTTTTTACTCGCTCAGAGCACCTCAATGATTTCAATCTCTTTTGTG